TGCAACTGTGGCGCAAATAAAATATTATCGATAATACAATTTTTTTCAGACTTATGATTACAAAAATTTCTGATTTCTTTAACGAATCGAATATAAAATTTGCGCTTCTTGTTTATTATTATTATAGTTATGATTAAATTTAGCATTCTTTAAAATCATTTGTGCGCCAAGTACTAGCACACCGCTCTATGGTAACATGGAGGCAGAAGGTCTAGTAGATCTTATCTAATTATTTCTGCAAGTACTAATTTCCATCTTTGCCTAAAATGTATAAAAATAGTGGTGCCTGACATCGTGCCTTAAGTTAAATTGCTGGAACTTCCAGCACCAAAAATTAAAATATTTTATAAATGATTTGTTCTTCTTTTAGAACTCTGAAATAATCTATTTTTGAGATTTTTAAAATTTTTGAAAAGAATTGATTTTTTCGAAAAATCTGATTTTGGAAATTTTGAACTGTTTCTAAAGCAATCGCGATTAGTAGCGTAAAACGAAATATCGAAGCGCGTCGGCGCCTCGTCGCCGTATAACGCCGCATAAAAATTTATTCTTATTATTGAAATATCAAAAAATATGTAATAATTTAATGTGCATATGTCCAATAATCATTTTTGTCCGCCAAATGGCATTACTTTTTCACTTTTTTTATTGGATCTCCAAAACCGCTCAACCAGCTTTTCTAAAAATTCAGTTCAGTTTCTTATTTTGTCCACACAAATAAAATGTTTTTTGAATAATACAAATCAGACGCTCCGTTGTCTCAAAAAATCATTTACCATGTTTGAAATTTTTTGCCCGTTATCTTCGAAACGGCTCGACCTGTCTTTACCAAAAACAAATCAGCACATCTCCTTATCAATATGAATCGAATGTTCTTTGAAATATTCAAATCGGTTGTCTTGTTCCTGAAATCGTCGACGAAAATTTGTATCCGCAACACACACATAAATACATTTTTTCTAAGGTATGCCAAAACGTTCAGAAGTCCTTAAAACGTGAAGATATGCAAAAAAATATTTTCAATTTTTTGCGATTACTATGTTACCCAACGGGAAGTAACGGTTATAAGATTTTTTTTTAAACCTACAACTACAAAAACATATAGTTAAGGACAATGTTTGATATTATATTAAGCATATTTAATATTGCTATATGTCTCTAATATTATAGATAAACCATTTTCTTTCTATATATAAATTAATAGATCTGACTAATTTGTATTGCGATTCAAATATAAACGTAGATATTATTAACTGTTGAATTATGTACACGAACACCAATCAGAGTACAATAATTTCTTAATGTTATTACTATTAAGTTTAGATTTAAAATTATTTAAGCGTCATATACACCGGTTATATAATAATAAAATATTTCTTCAAGTACTTTGTTATAACTTTGTTTATTAAATTAATAATGAATAAAACTAAGACCATTAATCAAAACCTCAATACCTTGAATTGGTCTTATATTCGTAATTAATATCATTATTATTTATATTAAACATTTTAATTGAATAGATGGAACTGAAACCATGTAAAGGAAAATTATCAATGCTCCGGAATAGGTTATTTGTGATATTACTTCAGGTTCATGGTTAACATTTTTTTCTTGCTCAAATATTAATTATTTAAATAATGTTCATTCTTTTTTTTCAAATATCGAAATTGATTGATATAATACTTACATCTTATTCATATTATAGTTGACAAATGCATATCTTTGCCTTTTTTTTTATTTCTATATTAACCATGAAAACTCATTATTAGACTGATAAAAGCTTTCTCAACCTAACACTCATAAAATATAATTACCAAATTTAATATTTATGAAAAAACAGAGCATTCTCACACAAAATTATTCAACATATTTTTATGTGAAATTGATCCAAGACTTTTTATTAATAGCGTAGACAAATGGTAAATATCTGATGGCAAATATTTTATTTCTCTCGGACCTAATCAACGATATTTCTGTTCAATATTCAGGATCTTTCGAAGTCGCTTTTTGCACATTTTCATTCTTTTATATAAATGTAATGAATACGAATTCCCATAGATATATATTGATGGTGTTCCTACTTTTGAAATATGTTTGTAGAGCACGTCGGCGAAACATTATAAATGTGCAAACGTAGACGATATCGGTTACTTATTCTATAGCAAATAGTATAATATTTTTACTTTAAAGTTTTCTTATATTAAAATTCATTTTTATGATATCATTCATAATGCTATATTCAGACTAAAACGTTAAAAGCTGCAAAAAAAGTTGTTGATGTATTTGAATAAAAATCAAAATATGTAGCTATGAAAATTGTTAATAACAATAAGGTTGTAATTTTCCTTAAGGCAAGTTGCATGAACTTTTATAAATGTGGAAATTATAAACCTCAACCAATAAGAATTAAGATTTTGCTATTAGGATAAACATTCTATCTTATTATTTGGAAAATAATGCTATTTTTTATTATGTTTTAAACAACTTATTATAATATGTGTAATTATAATGATTATGGTGCATAAACACATGTCCAAAAAGTACTAACATATGTGCTAAGCTGGATTTTATTCCCAATTTCAATGAATTTATATAATACAACAATTTTAGTAGGTTTGGTCATATTTTGGGGCGTTTATTGTGTTTATTGTCTGGTTTGTTAAATTTCCATAAAATGAAAAATATTTTCTTATAAAATATAATTATAAAGAAATGGTTCGGCAGATCTCTCAAAAAAACTAGTCATGACGATTCCCAAATGATATCTTTTAAACGATTTTTTAATTTTCTAAATAGATTCAGAAGTTTTTGTGAAAAGGTGGGCTAGATTTTTCCCACTTTTCTGCTAATTTCAAAAAACTTCCATGCTTGGCCAATTGTATTGCAAACACTTATTAAAGATTCCACCTTATCGAGTTTTACGAAATGGCTTTAAAATTGTTGAAATCGGTTCAGCCGTTTTGAGAAAATGTCGGTGAAAATCAAATTATCTCATCACATCGTAGAAGAGACTCTTGATAAATCTAATTTTATTTAATCAAATTAGGACTACTTTTAGAATTAAACCATGTAATATTTTAGTATCACGATAATTTCTATCATCATAAAATTCGAAATATCATTCAATATTTTCACATACACACATCACACATACTTTTTTCAAAGTTTCGACTCATTCGTTTCAGGCTTGAAACGTCAAGAAACCATACATTCACAAATCGGATTTTATGGCGAGAACACAAGCTTTTCCTTCGGAAAAATTAATATTGAAAATACGTAATTGTCTATTGAGAAAAAAAAATTCATTAGTTTAATATTATACAACAATTAGAGTTATTGACAGAACACTGTAAGCTATAGGGCTAAATTACACATAAAAAAGTAATCATAACAGAAAGAAATAAAGCAAAAAGAAAAAAAATTAAAAATGAACATAAATAAAAATTAATTACAAATGAAAACAGAGTGCGCGTAACAATCACAAACGATTGAAGTAAAACAACTCATCATATAATAATTGTGTTTGAAGAACTTCATGTAATTAAAATTAACATACATTCATTGACTGCTTGTATTTTTTTCACTTTTTTGTGATATAATCTCATTCGTTCATCAACAGCTGTAATATCTGTCTTGTCTAAAAAATATTTTCCATTTTAATAACTTAAAAATTTCTAAAGAATAGGTTAAACGTTAAGCAACAGCTTACAATATTTTTCAGATTCAGGCATTTCTTGGTCTTCTTCGATTGAAATCATTCAAATCGGATGACATTATATCAAAAAACCAATTTTTTGGCACTTTTTTTCCTGCATATTCAAAACGACTGGACATGCGTTTGCCAACAATCATTAGCACGTTCTTTCATCAATAGAAATCGAATGTTTTTTTAACTATTCAAATCGGTTAAAACCTGTTTACGAAATCATCAATGAAAATTTGTCTCCGCACACAAGCATAAATCAATTTTTTTCTAGGGAATGTCAAAATGCTCAGACTCCTTTGAAACACATAAATATATAAAAAAATATAGATATATAAAATAACTTACTCTACGGGAAGTCAATTATTCATCATAAACTAGTCAAATCATCTCAAGCTAATGTTTATATTTTTTTCAGATTCAGGCATTTCTCATTAAATCAAGATTTGTACTACAATGTAACTTTAAGATCTTTATTTATCTATGCCGATTTCCTTGTTAATATCAGTACGCATACAACGTTGACTCCGGTACGCATACAACGACATATCTCTATTCACATACGCGACGACTAATCACAATCGACCCGTATAGAAATGATATCATTGGCACTCGACTCTTATCTTATCTTGTCTACCGTAATGCAGTTCCGTTGCATTTGAACGGATTTACACCCTAGTTGCACCTAAAGAAGTTTTACTTCAATAAAAAAATAATAATAAAAAAAACTAATTGTAGTAATTGCTCTAATAAGCAATTGACTATGGAAGCTAACTTTTTGCAATAAGTCTATAGGCAGTTTCTTATTGTGTAGTCTTCTAGGCGAGTTATCAAGCAGATGATCCATTGTTGCATCAGAATGATTGTACATTTTTTCATGATGTTCAGTACTATTATTTTTGATGACATCCACCACAAAAGTGATGTTGAGATCATGAGAAAATATGCTGATTGTGATGAAATTAATACATCTATTTAGTACATTACAATTTAATATTTGCAACAATGTTCAATAATACTTCATATAAATTTCATAATACATTGTATACATTGTAAATCAAAATTCGCATTATCTTTTATAGTTTCTCGTACGGTATCCGGAGATACGCTGATACTCCACAATATCCAGCGCTCTGATATGGGCGCATATCTCTGCATAGCATCTAATGGTGTCCCGCCCTCCGTTAGCAAAAGATTCATTGTTCAGGTCCATTGTAAGTAGACGAATGGAATTTAGTTTTCTTAGTATAAAATTGAACTAAAATGTATAGATTCTGACTTTTACTATTTTTTCCAGTTCATCCTGCAATACGAGTTGCCAATCAATTAGTGGGTGCGCCAGCTGGAAGTGACGTCACTTTGCAGTGTCATGTAGAGGCTTCACCAAAAGCCATGAATAGCTGGTATAGAGATAGTGGAGATAAAGTAAGTTATTATAATTTGTATAAGTTAGCTTACTTTGTATTGTTTGAATACCACAGGTGACAGAATATTATGTAAAATTTTTAATTCAATACAATTTTATTTAAATTTCTTTTATGAATCACAAGAGATAATATAACTAAGGGTACATGGCATCTTGCCTTAAAGCAAATTGCTATAACTTTTCGGCTAAAAATCAATATTTTTAAAAAAGCTTTAAAATTATTGGTAAACTTGGAAAAAATAGAATTTTGAGAATTATAAAATTTTTAATTTAAATGACTTTTTTCGAATTTTTTTAGTTTCATATCTGGCATTTTTTTTTAAATTTTGAACTTTTTTCGATGCATTTTCGTTGTTTGGCATTCCTTTCTATAGCTGTTTTAGAGTCAAACTATCAAAGTTCCCAAGCGCCGCATCGTACGGATAAAAATTGGTACAGAACCTGATAATTTGACATGCATATATCTCATGATCATTTTTGACCGTAACATGCCATTTTTTTAACTCTCCGTAGAAAAAGTCCAAAAATTTAAATTGAAAATTTTTGCATCCGGGTGCTGGAATCAATCGATTTGAATGGTTAAAAAAACATTCGATTCCTATTGATAGGGAGATATATGCTAATTAATTTTTGGAAAAAGTCGGTCCAGACGTTTTGAAGTAACGGAGCAAAAATGGCACAAAAATAGAACTCCAGTTTTTGAGAGAACGCAGCATCCGATTTGAATAATCCAAAAATCATCATTTTGTACTGACGGGGAAAAGTGGTGACTAGTTTTTGGCAAAAGCAGTTCCAGCCGTTTCGGATATACGCAGATGTGCGAAAATTGCAGTTTTTGGAAGAAATAAGCATCCGATTTGTTTATGTTGACAAAACGTTTTGTTTTTTGAGGCGATTTCTTTATTTCAATTAATTTCAAAAATTTAAAAAAAAATTGTTTGAATAAATAATGTGGATTTTCAAAATTTTAATTCGGTACGGGAAGTTTCAGCGCTCAAGGCACTGTACACTACATACACCACTAGTTACTTTTTATTGGATCTCCGAACCGCTAGACCGGCCTTTCCAAAAATATAATCAGTTCTTCAATTTATCAATACAAATAATTTTTTTTAATCATTCAAATCGGACGATCCCTTATATCAAAAACCAAATTATTGGTATTTTTTTATATTCGAAACGACTTGACCTGCCTTTGCCAAAACCTAATCAGAGCGTTTCTTTATCAATGCGGATCGAATAATTTTGAATGATTCAAATCGGTTGAAGCCTGTTCACGAAATCGTTGATAAAAATCCGCACACATACACACACAAATAAACTTGTTTTTCTAAGGTATGTCATAATGTGCAAACTCTCAAAAAAATGTTTTGGATTTTTTTGCGATTATTATAACTTACTCTACGGGAAGTCAATTATTCATCTCAAATTAGTCAAATCATCTTTAACTAGAGTTAATATTTTTTCTAAATATAATTATTTAACTATATTCTATATTCTATATTCTGAGTATTAGATGAAAACTTACTACATTGATTTTTTGGTTTATGTAATTCTTGCAATCTTTATCTTAATAAACTCAATTTTTATTTAGTATTTGCATCACTAGTTAACTGCCAGCAATAATTATATATCTTTACGTTTCAAAGGTTTCTGAACATTTTTGCATACCTTAGAAAAAACGGATTTGTGTATTTAGCGAAATTGCTTTGAAAAAATATTCGAAATTTCAAAAATAATTCAAAACATCATAAGAATAAATTTCCAAAAAATCTTTTTAAAATTTCAAAACTTTCAAAAATCTAAATTTTTTAAAGTTAAGAAAGATTTTTTTTAATTTTAGTTTTTGCTACGGGAAGTTCTTTGCCATAAGGCGCAATACCATTCACCACTACTTTTATCAAATATTTTATAGCCCAGTTCTTTAAGCTTAAATTAGGTAAGAATCTAGGAATTTGAGATATCCTGCTGTCAGTCTGTAAATACTTGTATATTAACACCTTAAAGTTGCCTCAAAACCTACATATGGTATTGACACCCTACCATATGTAGGTTTTGAGACAACTTTAGGCACTGTACACTACATACACCACTAGTTACTTTTTATTGGATCTCCGAACCGCTAGACCGGCCTTTCCAAAAATATAATCAGTTCTTCAATTCATCAATACAAATAATTTTTTTTAATCATTCAAATCGGACGATCCCTTATATCAAAAACCAAATTATTGGTATTTTTTTATATTCGAAACGACTTGACCTGCCTTTGCCAAAACCTAATCAGAGCGTTTCTTTATCAATGCGGATCGAATAATTTTGAATGATTCAAATCGGTTGAAGCCTGTTCACGAAATCGTTGATAAAAATCCGCACACATACACACACAAATAAACCTGGTTTTTCTAAGGTATGTCATAATGTGCAAACTCTCAAAAAAATGTTTTGGATTTTTTTGCGATTATTATAACTTACTCTACGGGAAGTCAATTATTCATCTCAAATTAGTCAAATCATCTTTAACTAGAGTTAATATTTTTTCTAAATATAATTATTTAACTATATTCTATAGCAATAGCTATATGTTATAACTATTCATTTGTTGAGATATTAAATCTCAAGTATTAATTGAAGAAACGATAAAAATACAGTGAGTATTAGATGAAAACTTACTACATTGATTTTTTGGTTTATGTAATTCTTGCAATCTTTATCTTAATAAACTCAATTTTCATTTAGTATTTGCATCACTAGTTAACTGCCAGCAATAATTATATATCTTTACGTTTCAAAGGTTTCTGAACATTTTTGCATACCTTAGAAAAAACGGATTTGTGTATTTAGCGAAATTGCTTTGAAAAAATATTCGAAATTTTAAAAATAATTCAAAACATCATAAGAATAAATTTCCAAAAAATCTTTTTAAAATTTCAAAACTTTCAAAAATCTAAATTTTTTAAAGTTAAGAAAGATTTTTTTTTAATTTTAATTTTTGCTACGGGAAGTTCTTTGCCATAAGGCGCAATACCATTCACCACTACTTTTATCAAATATTTTATAGCCCAGTTCTTTAAGCTTAAATTAGGTAAGAATCTCGGAATTCGAGATATCCAGCTGCAAGTCTGTAAATACTTGAATATTGACACCCTAAAGTTGTCTCAAAACCTTCATATGGTATTGACATCCTACCATATGTAGTTTTGAGACAACTTTAGGGTGTCAATACAAGTATTTACAGACTTGCAGCTGGGTATCTCGAATTCCGCGGTAAACTTACTATAATGACTGGACTATTAACACAATATATGTAAAGAGCATTAAATTTTAGGAAAATTACAACAAGTATTTTATAGATTATTATTATTACTCTTTTGCGCAAAACCAAATTTTACTCTTATTATTCTTACACTAATTGTATCAATTTCTTCAACCAATTTTCAGATTTTGCCATCAAGTAAGCACATGGTGCAGGAAACTCGTACTGGTGACTACATGTCAGTTTTGACTCTGACAGTTCGTGAACTGCGTGCTCAGGACTTCGGAGGTTACATTTGTGCCAGTGTTAACGCTCTGGGAAAAGCCGAGGGTGGCATCAGGCTTCAAGGTTTGATATCCCTTCAAAATCTATATCATAGAATTCAGGAATACAATTATATTAGATATATTATATTATTTGCTTTAACTTAAAAATAATTTGCTTTTTTTTTAATTTAATTGGTATATCTTTTCATTTTATCAGCATAATATAATAGAGCACGTATTTAAAAGCAAAGTCAAACTATAGCTTTTTCAAATTCAAATATTTATTCATGACTGAAGCGTGCGGTTAAATATTGACGTAAACGATTTTTTCATATTATGTACGGTTTATCATTTCCGATATGTAATTGCTTCCAAAAGAAATATTCGAACCAATAATTTTATATATTAAATTCATAGAATATCAAACAGTTATATTGCTATATATTTCTAATTTAATTTTTTCTATTATAAATTTTTTTCATGTTCTTTCTCTATCAAATAATACAATTACAATGTCTTTTTTGTATACTTTTAAATATTTACATTTATAGATATTTGTTAAACGTTCTATGTATGAATATAAATAATCAATCAAATCATCAATTAATATAAAAAAAGAGTGCGCGTAAGGTTCACGCGATAGAAGTAACACTTATTTGCTACTGTACAAGATGGCATTTAAGTAAAAATAAATACATCATATAACAATTTTGAATAATGTTTATTAGTAATATGGTAACGCATGTAATGCACATATTTATTATTGTCAATATTTAAAAACAATAGTGTAATTAAAATCATACTTCAAATCGGACATGATCGGTTTGTCATTGTAATTGCCATTTGGAAATGAACCTTCATTAAAGAAATGGAGTAATTTCTGATTAATAAATTCTATAATATTCGTTCACACAGTGGATTATGTTAAACAACGTCTAAACAAATTGTGTTTGAAGAACTTCATATAATTAAAATTAACATACATTCATTGACTGCTTGTATTTTTTTTACTTTTTTGCTGGTGGTATAATCTTATTCTTTGAACAGCTGTAATATCTGTCTTGCCTAAAAATATTTTCGATTTTAATAACTTCAAAGATTAATAGAAACTACGAATAATATAGAAATAATTTTTAATCAATAAACTTACGTTTAGTACATGACCCAAATGTTTAATTTGTTTTATTATTTTTAAGGAAGAGAGTAAAATATTCTTCTGATTCAGGGATTTTTCATTAAATCAATATTTGTACTACGATGTAACTTACACATACGCGACGACTAATCACAATCGACCCGTATCGAAAAGATATCATCGAGAGCGAATGTCGAATCATTGGCACTCGACTCTTACCTTATCTTATCTGCCGTAACGCACTTCCGTTGCATTTGTAGTCGCACCTGAAGAAGTTTTACTTCAATAATTTAGTGTTTAAATTAAGAATAGTTTAAAATCAGTTTTGATATAGTAATTGTTTTGCAAGTGTACCTCTATAAGTAGTTGTTTTTAAGATCATATTATAAAAAATATAATATACAATTTGGTGATCCGTTAATTGTTATATTTTATTTGGGGTTAAATTATGTGGATTATCTTATGTGTACACACACACATATAGAAATATATAATTTGTGGTGTGAGCATATATTAAAAAATTTACTGTAATGCCCAAACTGCTTAAAATTCATCAAATATTAAACGTGAATTATGCAAAAAAACGTCTATTAAGTATCATTAATAGTCTGACAAATTAAGTATTACATTTTTATCAATTCCTTGTACTAGGAAAATTAGTTCCTAGTTTAAATATTTGAAAATTAACATACATTTACTTAATAAATTCTGCTGATACCATCAAATACTGATGTGAAAATTTGTACTTTATATTAACTATCATCAAACTTCGTATATATTTAAACTAAACTAAAATTTTATCTTGACTATTAAAATAGTTAAATGAAAGTTTCTTATAGCAAGGTACAGTATAATGCGTAAAAATATTAATATATCATTTATAGTCGAAAAACATTATATATCAAGTGAAAGTTTTACTTCCAACGTTGTACAATTATTTTCTGTTGAATTAAATTATTTGAGTTGCTATTTGATTTTTTAAATATTATATAACACTATAGTATGATTGGTGTATTAACATCTAAGTAACAATTATTTTTAATTGTTTGAAACCCCAGAATTGCCTTCCCTCAATATTTTAGTTATTTTATGTAAGTGTCAGAGATATTTATCAAATTAAATATGCATGCAATAAATATTATATTATATTAAATATAAATTTTTGATAATGCATATTATTTTTAATATCCAAGCAATACATAGCTAATATAATAATATATTTATAATAACAATCAATATTATTTATAATCAATAAAAAACTAACAAAATAATACATTTTAATTATAATAATAATATTAAATGTAAATTGTTTATCATCATTATTTAATTGATATAATATCTGTGAGCATTTTTCTTGAGTAATCTCTTGCACAATAAATATTAATTTTACTATTACAATATAATTGATTTATATTAAATCAAGATTTTTTTTTCTTTTCAGAGCTCCAACTTCCAAAATCCACTTCCACCACCACTCCTCGCACTAGGCCACCAGCGCCTCGTCCCGTTGCCACCAAAAAGCCTCCTTCTAAATCTTCCTCATCTTCCGCCAACGGCCAACAGTCGACTCACGGTCACCAGTCTGGCAAAGGCTCCAATTCCCACTCGTCTGGCAACTCCAAAGGGCAGAGGGACCGGGATTGGTCTGGACTAATTCCTCCACCTTTTGATGTAACTACCAGTTCTGCTGCAGGTGGAAGGGACGATAGTGAGAACGAAATTGAAGGTGATGGTTCATCTGGCGCCAATTCGAGAAGGCCACCTGGATGGGTGACTATGAACAATGGTTGTGGAAAATGGAGTGTGGTCTGTGAATGCCTGATTGTTGGATGGCTATTTGTAATGGTAACTGTTTTATAATTGATATTTTGGGATATTAAAATTTTATATTTTGTTTTAGAATGGAATTTGAAAAATTACTAGATGAAATATCAACGGTTTTCGTAATCTATAAATTTTTATTGTTTGTTTATTGTGAAAAGAAAATATATTATCAGATAATTATTTACAAAAGATATGAGATACGACATAATCAATTACACACATAAATTGCTAATAAATAACCCGGGGAAAAGAACGTTTATAACAAGTTTTAGTTTTTACTGACTAAGGTATCGTTTTAGGCAGAAAATACGTAATTATTATTAATTAACTACGCAATTTTATTATTTATATTTTGCTTTTTTATTTCATTGTGTATTTAGATATGATTTTTATTATTTTTGCAGATATTTAATTAACATCAAATTTACTATCAGTCAATGCATGCATTTCACCAGATCGACATGTAAGTTTTTTTTTTTATTTGTTTTTATATTTAAAGAGATATGAAAAATTTATTACTTGATAAAATATATTATATATTTCTTGATATATATATATATATATATATATATATATATATATATAAGGTGGCCCTTAATATGGACATTTTCGAATTTCCTTGCTCCCAAGGGCTCAATTGGTTCCAAATTGATAAAAAACAATTTTCTGAAAGTTTCAGCTCTTAATATTGTCTTTTAGATAGTGCGCAATTCAATCGAAGTTTTGTATGGAAATAGCATAGAAAATTTTTCAAAAAATTTTAAAAATATTTTTTTTTTAATTTAGCGAACAAATAAATGAGTTTCATTTAAAATTCGACGCTCTACGAAACAAATTATGAAAAATCTGTTTTGCATAGAGTCGAATTTTCAATAAAAAATGACACGATTTTTCAATTTCAATTCATTTATCGCTAAGTTATTCCTAAAACAATTTTTTTTCCGTATAAATTTTCAAATTTATTTCCATACGAAGTTTGAATGAATTGCGGGATATCTAAAATTTAATATTAAGAGCTAAAACTTTCAGAGAATTGTTTTTTATTCATTTGAAACCATTCGAACCCTTGGGAGGAAATTCGTAAATGTCCATATTAAGGACCACCCTTATATATATATATATATATTTATATATATATATATATATATATATATACCCGATGTGTTCAGCTACAACATTTTTATTCAAACAAATTTAATTGAGAAACATTTATTTTGGGCGGTTATTGATTGATTGGAAATTTCAGTCAACTGTTTTTTGATTAAATTTGCACAATCTAAATATTAAATTAAAAATTATATTTAAAATTTTTTGAATAAATAAAATTTAAATATATTTTATATCAGCAAATAAATAATATATAAAACGAATTTCAATTTGGACTCCTGTACAAATTGTTTTTGATTTATGGAAGCAAATGAAATATTTTAGGTGCAACTATTGTTTCTAATTATTATTTGTGTTTTTTCGTACTCATATTTATTATTATAACTTATCATTTATATGATATTCGGTTTTATGCTTATCCAGAATGGATAAAATTCCTAAACCCTAAGTTATTTGGTGGCATTATTTATTATAAGTCGTAATAAAAATAAATAATGTTATGGCTGAAAATATATTATTTTTTATAGATATACATGCATGTATATATATATATATATATATATATATACATATACATATATATTTATATCTAATATATATTATGTTTGTGTTCTTATTCTTACATATATGAACAGTATTCAAATATCCTTCGGGATAATCTGAATAGAATGAAAGTGTTCAATATTTCTGTCACGTATCACCACTAAATTATTTTGAACTCAAAGTTTACATCCACAATGTTGAAACTTTGTTGCAAATCTTGAATTTCTTTACTTTTATGTATGAAACGAACTCTAGAATGTCTTAAATTCCATTAATTGTTATTCTCTATTGAATTATATATTGATTTCGTATATACTTATTTTTTTTAGTAGTTAAAGTTTAAGAGAAAAGCAGATTTATATATCAATGTGTACATTTCAAAATATATAAATATATTTAATTTAATATCATAATATATAGACACAGGTAAGACAGATTTTTTTCATATATAATAAATATGAAAATTTCATAAGAAGATGAAATTTTCATCAATAAATATTAAATATTAAATGTCTTCCGAAATTAATATATCATATTTTTAAAATTAGTTTAGTTTTGTAATTATTTGAGATGCTTCAACGTGAATTTGTATTATGTGTAAATTTGATGCTATTTTGTACGAAAAATATTTGTAATGTATTTTATTCGCAAAAATTCGTTCGTCGTTGATTAATGTGACCATGGACCTGGATTCGGTAGCGAAGCTATATATATATATATATATATATATATATATATATATATATGTTAAAAATTTTGATGATTTTGTAATATGTGATATTCAATCTTCAGGGCAATACATCAATTAAAAATTTGTTGGAACTTATAACATTTTTATTGTTTCCATGCGTTTCGACACATTGTTTTGTGTCATCTTCACTGGAATGTAATTGTAATATTCCTAATTATTTCCTAATAATAAATGTTCACAAATGCACTAATAAAAACAGTTCTTATCACTTTAAATCGGAACAATTATACAAATTTTTAGAAAGAATTTCTTATTGTAGAGTACATGTCGCAAAGTCGATGCGACAGTAACTGTTACTATGCGTAATTATAGGCTAAATTTAGAATTAGCTTTTTATGTAATTATTTTTGTATATACTTGTATGTTATTTAAAACGTTCAAAAATCCTCAAGAATTTTAATTATCGTGTATTTATTTGTTGTACGAAAGCATAATAACCGTACAGCTGATTTCTGTCGTTGGCATATTTATGAATATTTTTATTATTGGTATATAAAAATATTAATATAAGAAAAATATCTTGTTTAATTATTACAAAAACCTTGTTATAATAATTGAACAAGACATTTTTCTTCTTATATTAATATTTTTATATACCAACAATATATTTTCTGCAAACTATATTATTTTAAAACTATTATCGGTGCGGATTATTGCAGGTTATTAAAAACGTGTTTTATTTCTAATATATAATTAATTTTTATATAAAGCTAATAATATGAATAATATTTTTAAGAATAGACGCAAAGACATTAAAATACATCGAGCATGAGATACATATTTAATATTATACATCGACTAATAGACAAAGACATCGGACCTTAACTGTAGAAAAAATAATATCCAAAAAATTATCGCATATTTGCCAACATTCCCAAATATTTTTGTTTATTATAGGATCTTAGTGAATTTCAAATTTTACTATGAAATTTTGAAAAATGGATAATCGGCATCTTTTCTTTGACTAGGCAAAGTAGATACTGACGCCACTTTTACCAAAATCATCAAAAATTAGTAAATTTAATAAAATCATGAATAATCTCAACCCAGTTGTTAGCTCAGGTTTATCGGAATAAAAGTCAGAGAGAAAATACCATTTTTTATTATAATAAATGTTCAAATTGTTTGCATCTGCAAATGAGGATCTCTTAAAGTAGACAAGTTTTAAAAAAAATAAGTTCATAGTTCAACAAAAACTCTCAATTGTTGAAAACTTGAGGCAATTCTGTTATTGTTCCTGACTTTGGTTCTAGAAATAATATTCACGGTTACGTTACCAAAGTTCAAGTAAACAAAAATAATAACAAAAACCACGATAACCGACAAATGGCAACAATTTTACCAAAGTTGCACTTAAAAGCTGATAATTTCCATACAACTTGAGATAATTGACCAATTCAGGTCAATACAACCATCCCGTTTCGGCATGACGTTGAATTCTGGGACACCTTATATAGATTTATTTATATATAAAAATAAAATAAATTTTTATTGTCCTTAATATGAACATTTTCGAATTTCTTTGCTCCCAAGGGCTCAAATGGTTCCAAATTGTTAAAAAACAATTATCTGAAAGTTTTAGCTCTAAATATTAACTTTTAGACAGTGCGCGATTCAATCAAACCTCTTATGGAAATAGCATAAAAAAATTTCAAAAATTTTGCAGAGCGTCGTATTTTTAATTAAAAATGACACGAATTTTCACCTTTAATTCATTTGTCGCTAAGTTATACATTAAAAAATTTTTTTTAATTTTCAAAATTTTTTCCATGCTATTTCCATACGAAGTTTGATTGAATTGCGCTTTATCTAATAGACAATATTAAGAGCTAAAACTTTCCGAGAATTGTTTTTCATCAATTTGGAACCCTTTGAGCCCTTGGGAGCAAGAAAATTAGAAAATGTCCATATTAGGGACTACCCTAATGTGTATATATATATATACAAACGTTTATTTTTAAGCTTGTATATAATAAAGCAAATGTCGTCTCCTGGTATGGGTGTGTAATCAGAATTTATGTACGTTTGCATAGAGTTGCAACCGGAATATATTATGTCGAGCAGTTAAACTAAAGCAATTCGCCAGAGCGACTTAAAATATCTGAGAGGAATTTCTCTGAATGTCAGAATATACTGAATTCAAATGAAAAATGACCGTCATTTAATAGTCACTTCACTCCGTGGTTGTGTTTGAAAATCTGCATTTTCCTATATTGATATATCGATAGTATTATTGGATATTATATATTATATATTTATTTTTATATTATGGTATCAAATATATCTTAGTCGCAAAAATATATGATATGTATATAGTCATGAAACTCGGTTGAGGATTTTGTCAAAAATGTATTTATTGAAACATACATACTGTAGGGCGAGCCTCAAAGATCTAATTTGAATTGCAGTAATTATATTGTCTAATTTAATCGAACTACATGATAACACATAACACGTACCATGCAAACAACTATTGGACTATATTCAGTTAAATTCCCAATTAATTTCTAACTATAGAAATGTGTTTTTTCACTGTTTTTCTAAATTTTGTAACCTGGGCCAAAAAAAGACAACAAGGAGGCAAACAGTTCAAATTACAGATTTTTAAGTTTAAAGAGACTGCTGCGTTATTACAATTTCTTTGAGAACAAGTACTTTTTTACCAAGAGTTCATGGAATATAACCTT